ACTCAAGTGGGGTTTGGCACCATTAATTAGAGACACCTGAAAGGGTAGGGTGAGGATTTCTTGACTCAAACATTGGTACACAATCTCAATGTGGATAACACAGTCAAGGATTTTATCTTTGGCATAAATTGTTCACATTTCAGATTTGATTAAGATCCTCCTTATGGATTCTAGCTTAAAATTGTTCACCGTCTAGGTTATATATGTTCTTTAGAAAAGAAAAAAAAAAACTAAACTTTGCTACATTTCACTTCTTTTATTGATAAAAAAAAGAAAAACTTATAGACATCTTAAACTTAGTTTCATTGAAATTCGTCTTTGATATTGACCTTTTTCACTGATTTTTGTTAATATGAATTTGGAGTTAATTTTTTGTATTGATTTTCAATCATTCATTAGAATATAAATTTAGACAAATATAAAAAGTAAAATTTCGTTATTTATTTATTATAATTTTTATTTTGTTTTAATGGTTGAAAAAATATATATTAAAATGAAAATAATAAATGGTTGGAGTTAATTTATATAAATTGTTGAAACTTTTTGTTTGTTAGTTAGTTATTTAATTCGAGTTTAATAAATAGTAAAGGATAAATGTCAAGAGTTAATAAAAATGAAGTTGGAATGGGTAATATGTGTAGTAAGAGATAAAATTTACGAATCAATTGAGATAAAAAGTTGTAGATATTATTTTGTTTTTCTTTTTGCCATAATTATTTTAAAAAATAAAGTTTATAGTTATTTTTTTCAATTTAATTTTTAAATCCAAGCTGGGAATGTATTCTTAAAATAAAAAAATTTACATTTATATTGTTTGGAGTTTTCGTAAATGAAAACGTTTATTTTTTTTCTTAATCGATATACAATAAAGATTGATAAGAAGAAGTAATTTAATCGACAATATATAAAAAAAGCGAATATTAGATTTAATAAGTATTTAAATAAAAATATCTCTATTAATATAAGTTCATGTTATAAAATACTGTTCATAAAATTCTTAGTTTACTGTATCATAATATAATTTTATTATCCGCCCATAATTTTTATATATATAATATCATATTCTTTCATACAACCAAGTGAAGTTATATAAACAAGAAACATAATTAAACATAACATCTATCACGTATATAATATTACTGTATCTCATCACATTATAATTTATATAAATATTTTCAAAAAATGGACATTATATTTTAAAATTAGACACTACCATTTGTGAATTAGGTTGCATTAGATACTTTTTAACTATCAACATATTTTTATTTCTAGTCTTCCAATCCATAGAGTAAGACTAATGACAATATTACAGGTCTTGATGCATTTTCCATGTGATATTAAAACAAATCATCACTAATCTTCTATCGATTTCTCACCTACAAATATCTTCATCTATTCAACTATGGTTATTAGTGGAATTTAATGTCTTATTGAATCTACACAAATATAATAATTACATTAACACCACGATAACTTCCTTTGAGTATTTATAATCATAAACATTGTAGCCAATTATTAATCATATTCCTTCCTCGAGTTAGTTTCATATACACGAATATAACAGTCGATTACGAGTCATTTTCTTCTCAACTAATCCTAAATAGATGTATCTTAGTCTCAAGAACCCACAACATCACCTTGTCATTTTATGATATCATACATGTCATTTCATAATTACACAACATTTTATTACATATGTCTCACTTGAGCAATAACTTGCATTAGAAAAACAAACTCTCAACCCTAGGAGTTTTTCACTTGAGCGGAAATATACAAAAAAAACACACAAAACCTCTAAACTTTCTTGAGTAAAAATTTCACTTTAGAGACTTTGACTTTTGCTTAAGCGCAAATTTGGTAGTATCAATTCTATCTTTTCTCCGTTTGAGAAAAAAATTGAAACAACTTAATTTTTGCTTAAAGAAGAAGACTCTCACTTGAACAAACCACTATGGTCTTAGGTTATCTCTTCCACCGCGACTTGCCTTCGCTCACGCAACACAAGTTTTGTTTGAGCAAAAATGAATCTAAAACATAAGATTTGTCCAATTTTTAAATTTTCTTATTCTAATATCCAATAATACAACTTATTTAGGTCACAATCATACAATAAAAATGTATGCAACATCAAAATATCAACATATTATAACATATATATTTCATTTTTAGACATATTATTACTTAAATAATTAACTTTCCATGCCAAAATGTTTTTTAATCTCAACCTTTTTAAATATATATACCGTCCAATGTCAATACTCTTATGTTAAAACCTAGATAACACCCCTGCCTAACCAAAATAGATATTATTATCTAGTTTTCTTCTTAAACTTAAAAATAAGTAAGATCACAAATAAAAAAAAATTACTTACGAGTTTAAAGTTTTGATCCACCAAAATCCGTTTTTATTACTTCAACTTTTTCATTCCATTTTCAAATATAAATTCCATAATGTCAATATATTGAATTAAAAAAAAAGAAGCACACAATGAATTCTATAATGAAAAGGTAAATATTCATAAAACTGTTCAATTTAATTTTGTATTTATAAAATTTCCTAACCAACTAAATATATTCTTGTATTTCAAACCTCACATGGTTACACATGATGGTTAAGACCCTTGGTGTGCCATTGCATAATAACTAATAACTTGGTGTTATATTAGAAGGAGAGAAATCAATACTAACTCAGAATCATGAATACCAATGTTTGTCTTTTTATGCTTGTTATCTGACAAACATTTGAAATTGTAATGTTTCATGGTTGGTTGGCCATGTTTTATTTTAGTGAGGAATGAAATTAAAATATTTATTATAAATTCTCCTACGTGTATATTGTCATAATTTTTGCATGGTCATTCATTTGTTTGATGAAGTACTACTATGGAATCTACTTAGGAGGGATATCAGTTTTAATCCTGTTTTTGTTCATATGAAGTTTGTCTCAAGAAACCCAAAACCGTGACTACTGCTAGTGCAGCCTTCCCACTTTGAGATCTGGGTGTGTTTGATTTGGTTAGATTTACAGAACATATTTGGAGTGCTATTGCAGCATCTAAAAATATATATGAAGAAAGTTCACTTCTTTAGAAAAATGATCAAGGTTCAGAGTGGATATGATTCAACTACTTTTATGATTATGGTATGTGATTAGATATTTTTTAAAAGGTTAAAATACATTCATTTATTCATCATCTACTCGGTTAATTACAACTGAATTCATTTAATCCTTCTATTTATTTCAAAAAATGCAGACATTCACTTATTAGTCCTAATGAATCAAAGTTAATTCAACCAATTTTTTTAATGATTTTTTTAAATTTTTATTTAAAATATATATATATATATATATATATATATATATATATTATTTTTATAGATTAATATTGGATATCCATGTTTATTTAAATTTAATTTTTTATGAAATGGATTAGGATGAATAGAATGTTTTACTTAAATGTTAATGGATGAAAAATGAAACTATTATAATCCGAAACGAATAATTTATTTAATCGATCAATCTTCTGATAAACTATTAGTTTAGGAATGAGTCATAGAGCTAAGCACCTCCGGCATATTACATTTTAAATAAAAATTAGAATTTGTTTCTTTTTTCAAATTCTTAATCTATTAAAATAGAGGGAAGATTTATTGTAAATTTTAGATTAATACGTCTTATTAATTATCTTATGAAATCAATTTTAAATTAATTTGAATATGATAATTCTAATTAAGTTTTTTTTAAATGAAACTAATTACGTTTTTAATAGTATTTAACTAGTCTTATAACCCACTTTTGAGTTATCAAAATTTGTTTTATTTTTAAGCGTTTTAATGACTTTATTACTTATTTTTAAATAATTGATTATTTTCAAATAATTAATCTTATTATACCATTTTATTTATTCACAGCTTAATAAAAAAACCTAACAAAATTCGAGGTTTTAAAAAAAATGTTTTTACATCTCTTTTAGGCGCACACAATATATATATTTCTTGAATTTTTTATTCTTTTTTCGTCAAGTAACTTGATGTCATTTTTACAAATCACACATATAAGTAATTTAAAGATAGATTCAAAGATAAAACAAATACTTAAACACATAATTCTTGGATAATCATTAATTAAAAAGAGATATAAAAATATTATAATATATAAGTGAATATAATTGTTATTTGACTGAGTCTATTTTATAAGATTGAATTAAGTATTTCATAATTTTTAAAATAATATTAAAACTAATTCTATTTTTAAGACATTGATACAAGATATGTGTGATGAAAGAAATCCTCAGTATATATTTAAAAATTTCAAAAGATACCATAACATTAACCATAGATAAAAGATATATATTTTTTGGAATAATATATAAGATTAATCGAGATATAATTCCTTTGTATATTTATCCTTTCATTACTCTAGTTTCTTTATGAACGCAAGAGTCAAGTAACAGTTCCTAAAGTTTAACTTGTTTGAATAATGTAACTTACAAATCATAACTATGCCCATATCATATCATGTGCTACGTTCTTATATTAGAGTCATGAAATACTCTATAAGACAACAACTTTTTGAAAAAAGTGTCAACAATGGAGCAAAATTTCTAATTCCTAACCATCATCGTAGTTGCATACATAACTGTTCAAAATCTTTCAAGAAAGAGAAAAAAAAAAAACTTTTATAAATGGCAACATATCATGGCACATTCTCATGTACGTAGACATTTTTTTTCTGTAACTTCCTTCCATCACATGTGCCCATAGTGTGGTTTCCAACACGTAACTACGCTTTTAATATTCTATAATGTAGCATTGAAAATCACCACGATCCTGAGATTCTCCGATAATCTCCCTCAGATACATCATTATCATCATCACCTACAATCTCTTCTCCACTAAATACTATGCATTAGTAATGCTAATAATTTTCTTTAAATATGACCTCTTTGTCTTCTGTGCCACCAAATGTATTATACTGAAACAAGCCTCACTGTCAAACTATGAAGCCGTGTCCAAAACTCAGTGACTCCATTGTAATTGTCATTTTCTTTGTGTGTGCATTGAGCTTTTCTGATATAAAAACAATGTTTTGTTCTGATTTTTCTTAGTGTATTTCAGTGTTTTAATAATTTTGGTTCCTGTGTTTGCATGTTCATGGACCCCTCTTCTTCCTTTGCTTTATTCTTTTGCATATAAAGATAACATTGCAAGGTTTTAAACAGCGGTTAGAGTTCTCTAGTGAATTGATGGTAGTTATGGAAACCTTCAAAAATACATTTGTGGGGTGTCAATTGAAGTTGTGGACCACAATTTGAAACCTTAAAAAATAATTTGAGTGAAGGATCAGTAAACTTGTCCTTTATTTGTCGTGTTTTGGTGTTTGAGTTGTCTGATTTTCTTCTACAGGTTGTTGAGGTGATCTTCACAGTTTTGTTGCTGGGATTGCAAGGAGTAAGGGTTGCCAAAGGATTGGATTGTCTTGAGTATCCTGCTATCAGCTGCAGAAAACACAGTGCAGTATTGACTGATTTTGGTGGTGTTGGTGATGGAAAAACATCTAACACCAAGGCCTTTCAATATGCAATTAGCAACCTCAGCCATTATTCATCTGATGGTGGAGCTCTACTTGTTGTGCCACCCGGGAAATGGCTAACAGGAAGCTTCAATCTCACAAACCATTTTACCCTTTTTCTCCACAATGAAGCTACCATTCTTGCATCTCAGGTATTTTATTCATTCTACCCTCCCCTTTTACTATATTAAAAAAAAAATATCGTCCTCTTTCTTTTTAAAAATATCAGAATATTCAATGTTTTCATGTTATAGCATGTGGTCAATCATGTTATGTTTACTTGAGATGCTAAATAAGTTAGAGAACTGTATATTTTTTTTTTATAACTAATAAATCTATAATACGATCTCTCTTCTGCATGCACATGTGCACCGTATTTTATAGTGAAAAAATATCAGTTCTTATTTTTTCTCTTTGGTAAATAGCAGTTGTTATTTGTTACGGTACATCATTGGAATTTGGTTACCTAATATCATGTCACTTACCATTCACCTTTCTCCAAACTATGCAATATTGGCACGTTAGTTAAGCTACATTTAACATCATAATCTATAGCTTTTTATTTTTTATAGTTTGTTGTTTGCTGACCACGGACCCACATTAACAGGATGAATCAGAGTGGCCTACAGTTAAAGTTTTACCATCTTATGGCAGAGGAAGGGATGCTCCTGATGGAAGGTTTAGCAGTCTCATTTTTGGAACTAACCTCACTGATGTAGTAATCACTGGTAACTACTATTCTCATCACTAGTAAAGTAACTTGTCTCACTGGAAATCTTTTTTCATGTAACTTAATTTTGTTCGTCAGGTTACCATGGGACCATTGATGGACAAGGATCTTATTGGTGGGACAAGTTCCACAAGGATGAATTGAAACTCACCAGGCCTTACATGATTGAGGTTATGTTCTCTAATCAAATCCAGATATCAAATCTCACTTTGATCAATTCTCCATCTTGGTTTGTCCATCCAATTTACAGCAGGTTTGACAATGATTTTCTTTTGCATTGATATTTTAATCTTAATGCACAATATATTTTGATGTTTTAATCTTAATGCACCATATATTTTGATGTTTCTATTACCCCTGTGTCTACAGTGACATCATAATTCAAGGACTGACCATTCTTGCTCCAGTTGACTCTCCCAATACTGATGGAATAAATCCAGGTGATTTATATTATTATCATAACTATAAACAGAAGATGAAAAGGGAAAAAGGATAAAAAAATAGTTTTAAGAAAAAATGAACAATATACTCTGTACTCTCTGATAATAAACCATAACATTTAATCGGAATATATCTGATATAAAGTTAAAGTTTGTTATACTGTGATTCAATTCAACCATAGATAAGTCAGATAATTGAAACTAATTGTGTTTTGTGATCAATACTTTATAAGTCACATCTATAGTGGTTTTCACAAATCTTTGTACAATATATCAAAATTAAACTGTAAAAAATATATGCTTGTTTGTTTCCCATATTCTGAACTTTTCATCTAATTATGTGTATTCAATCTGAAGTTTTGGGTAGTTACAAGTTTTGTATTGGCCCAAAATTAAACCATTTCCTAATTATGTCATCCTTTTTGCAGATTCTTGTACCAACACTAGGATTGAAGATTGCTATATTGTCTCTGGTGATGATTGTATAGCAATTAAGAGTGGTTGGGATGAGTATGGAATCAAATTTGGAATGCCAAGCCAACACATAATAATCAGAAGGCTTGAATGTGTTTCCCCTGATAGTGCTATGATTGCTTTAGGCAGTGAAATGTCGGGTGGAATCCAGGATGTTAGAGCTGAAGACCTCACAGCTATCAACACTCAATCAGCAGTAAGAATCAAAACTGCAGTTGGTAGAGGTGCATATGTCAGAGACATATTTGTGAAAGGAATGAACTTAAACACCATGAAGTATGTGTTTTGGATGACAGGTTCTTATGGCTCACACCCTGACCCTGGCTTTGATCCCAAAGCACTTCCCAACATAACTGGAATAAACTATAGAGATGTCTTTGCAGATAATGTAACATATTCTGCAAGACTTGAAGGAATTGCTAATGATCCTTTTACAGGAATCTGTATTTCTAATGTGACTATCCATAGTGGTGAAAAGAAATTGCAATGGAATTGCACTGATATTGAGGGGGTGACAAGCAATGTCTATCCTAAGCCTTGTGAGTTGCTTCCAGAGAAGGAAGAGCTAATTGAGTGTCCTTATCCAGATGACAAAGTGCCCATTGAAAGTGTTCAGCTGAAGACTTGTTCCTTGAAAAGTCTCTCATTCTTTTAAGACAATAATATAGTAATCCAAATAGGAGTTTTTAAAAAATGAAATCAAATCGAACTTATAGAATAAATGGTCTATTTTTCTTATTACCTAACTGATTTTAGGTCTGTAATATCATGAAATCAATAATAGGGGTCAAACAAGTTTTCCTATATGACACGAGCAACATAGTAGAAAGTTCATGTGTATTGACTCTTACAAAAGATGCATGTGGTTTCAAACTTAAAAATCCATGTTTGGATAAGAAAAATATTGAATTACATTTGGTCACTGCATGATTCTTACACTATCACTGTTTGAGCCATTGCTTTTAATAAATAAATCAAGCAATTAATGTGTGATTTTTAGTATAAATAAACATACAGGATTTAAGAATAAGATATATGATTGATATCTTTGTAATTTAATTTCTCATTTTTTGTGTTCAGAGTATAAATTGTCGCTTTGCTTAAAACTGCTATTAGGAAGAACTTTTCCTCACATCTTAGTAAAATGACATTAGATTCAATAAAGTATACTTAAGGAAAAAGCTCAATTTATGAACTACATTAAATAATTGAAAAGTTCTGTCAAATTGGTTTGCCAATAGACTTGAGGAACAATATTGTTATTTTCTGATGGCAATTTCTGCTGTTTACATCTTGATATCATCTAATTTTGCTGCTTTTGTGGAAAGTGATTGCGTTCTAAAGTCTCCCTCGCAATTTGACGTTCCTTCAATAAATGAGGAAGAGGTATCAAAAAACAGGTATAATATGTTTTTGGTTTCAAAAAATATTATTAGTTCCTGTATAAGTTTTACTCGTTTACAATCCTCATAGATAATAAAATGAAATGATTTCAGTCTCTCATCACAAATGCTGTTAGCATAATTTTGTTAGATGTAAGGAACAAAAATGAATGAACTTAGGAACTAAAAATGAATAAATAATTATTACCTCAAAAAGAAGAATGTTGGTTTCAAGCATGCAAACCACATCTCTCATCTTGAGTCTAGGATTCACATCAGGATCTACACATCGTAGAGCAACTAAAGCAACCTCTTTAAGTACCTTGGAAGAAGGCATTTTAATCAATTTTGGATCCATCACATTCTCAATCTTTCCACTGGAAATCATTGATTTGAACCAGTCCACCATATGAGTCTGCAACTTGGATTCATGTTATATTTATAATCTGCAAGAGAAGTGAGCAGGAACAAAAACCAACAACTAATGAATCTAGTATTGGTAGTTGTACCTCTGTCTGACTGTGATATGAAGGGATTCTTCCTGATACAATCTCCATAATAAGTAATCCAAAATCATAAATGTCATTACCCTCAGTTAAGGTAGTACTTGAATGACAATCTGGAGTTTCGTTACTGGAGCACGAGAAAATAAAAATCACTTTGAAAACTGATGGTTAGTTTAATCAAATAAGAATTTTATTTGAATGTAATGACACCATAGATGCTCTTTATATATGACTTCAGTAATTTTCTAGCTAACATGAATTCTGATTGAATGACAGTGTAAAAAAGTTATCCGGGCAAAACATAGAAATTAAAATCATCAAATATTATATGATAAGAAGAATTGGCTTACAATGTGGAAACATGTAATGAAGTTAATAATTTTGTGAAGGAAAGAAAACTGACCCCAATGCATCCACTTCCAGTACAACGTTACTCCTTTTGGGACTGAGAACCTTAACAAGACCAAAATCAGATATTTTTGAATTCCAGTTGTGGTCCAGCAAAATGTTTCTAGATTTTATGCTGCCGTGGATAATCTTTGGTTTAACTTCATCATGAAGGTATGCCAGTCTGCATAAATACCTTGTCTTTAGATAATATTAACAATTTTTCTTTTTTGTAGATAAAGTTGTAATGAATATTTTGAAATCTAAATCTCACCCTTTTGCCACACCATGGATTATGTTCTTTCTTATATCCCATGTCAGAGGGGTGATTTGTGCTTCAGGAATTTCATGAAGCCAGTGATGCAGACTTTCATGAGCTACATATTCAGATACTGACATCCTGAGAGAGGAATGAATATTTTAATATTCACAATGATGGATATGAGCAGAACTTGATAGAACATTTTAGCTTTAGATGAAAAAAACTAGTAGTATATACCTGTAAGCACCCTCAGCACAATATCCAAGTAATTTGACCAGGTTATTGTGCTTTGCACGTCCTATTGCTTCCATTTGGGATGCAAAAAGTTCCTCAGGTTGGCCACTACGAATCCGGTAAAAAAGTTCAGGTCATAATTTACATGTTTGCATCAAACTCAATGGAGACATATTTTGCATCATTAGAGTGTGGTTATTCATTCTATTTAATCTTAAGTTGTATGAGCCAACAAAACGGGTTGCTTGATTTTTATTTCAGAATCTGAACTTTATACTAATACCAACAACCCCTCTTGATGGATTAAGATGCTTTTCATGGAATAAAATGTTATCAAACTGAAATTCTTCTAAATTTAAATGATCAGGCATAACAAAACATGTATAACATGAAGTTACTTCATACTTTTGTCAAGCAATATGCAGAAATCCTTCTAGATGATTCTGATTAGATTAAACTCAAACAATTCACTAAATTCCATAAATTTAGTGAAGCAATATTGAATGCACTCAGGAAAGCAACTTACAAACAAGATTAAACTATCATATTAAGAAATTATATTTGACAATCACATAGCCTAATGAAATAGCATTTTTTTCTCATCAATATGAACTGATAAAGACTAATAAAATTGAATCGAATAGGAATTTAAACAAAAATTCTACATTAAGTATACCTGTCACACACTAGTCTCTTCACAACCACCTGTCTATTACTTGGCAACAAACCAAGATAAACAATTCCATTATCTCCACGTCCAACCTCATTTTCTTTTGCAAATCCATTAGTAGCATCCTGTATCTCCTTAAGGCTAAAGCACCACCCCTTACTCTTATCATTGACTATGGAACATAATTTACCTCTTGATCCCAAACCTTCAAAATATCGATCATTTGCAATGCCATATGCCATCGGATAAAACTGGTCAATGAGGACCAACTCATCATGATTGTAATAACCTGATGACAACCTCTCAAAGTTCATGATGTGTTCTGAGACATTTCCTGACACTGATAGTAACCTCTTGTCAAGAGAGGAAGAGCTAAAATCACCATTGTTGTTCTTGCATGCTATTGATTTAGGTAAAGAAAAGCGAGGTTTGCATGATTTTTGAAGAGGATAGTAAATGAAGTTAAAGCACAAGATGACGCATGTCACAACAATGAATGCTAGTATTGAAACTAGCAGCAGCAAAGCCCATAATGGGATGCCAAAGAGTGGGGTTGATATTGAGACCTTCATTTCTGTGATGATGGGGTGGAATGCATGAGAGGAGAAAGAATATGAGAGTTGTTGAATTTGATGTGGAACAACTCAGAAAATTGCAAATTGAAGCTTCGTTACAGGTTTTGGGTTCTTGAGCATAAAATTTTCAAGTTTTTAAATGTTTGTTTTATCACGAATATTTCTGGTACTACAAACTCACGAGAATTCCCCCATAACGTTTATACATGCCGACTAATTCAACGTTCATATTTCATATTTAAATTCTAGATATTTTCTATCATTATTTTTAATATTAAATAGTCACAAATTATATGTAAAATTAATTTTTAAATATTCATAATATACTAAACATCTTAAGTAAAAAATATTAACAAAAATTTCAATAAGAAATAACTTGTTTATTATTTTAATAGTTGCTGACATAATTTTATGACTATAGAAACTTTTAATAATACTTGAAAAATTAGAGATTATTTTGATTTATTTTGATATTTTTTTATTCTTAACCATTTGAAAATATTAATGATGAAAACAAATTAAAAAAAATAAAAGGTCAAATTAAATATACATCATAATCGGTAGAATAAAAGTTTAAATAAAATTCAATTAACAAAAATAGTTATATATATATATATATATATATATTATTTTTATTCTTTTATCACCATACATACATAATATAATTTATATAATATATAACCACACAAATATTACAGGAATTTTGAATCTAATGTGATATGAAAATATATAAGACCGTAATTTATTAAATAGTATTATAAGGTCTTTAATATATAATAATAATAATTTTTTAATAATTTATGCTTAAATTTACATAATTGATTTCTCACTATTTTTGTTTTTTATATTTTTTAAATTTGATAATTTGAATATATGTTTATAATATTTACATAAACTTTATTATTGTTTTTAACAAATATATTATCACATTTTTTCATATATATATATATATATATAATTTTAACATTGAGGGTGAACTGATAATAAAAATTTATAAAATTAAAATATTTAAAACTATCTAGTTTTTTTTTAATATTTAGGTATATTTTTCTTTAATTATATTCAAATTTATATTAAATAAATCAAAACATTATTATATTTAAATATATAATATTATGTATTTAAAAATAATTTATTAACTAATAAATATATTTAAAAATAATTTTACATTATATAAAATTTAGATGATAGTTTTTAATTATATAAATTATTTATTTATTTATTTGACAAAAAATTAAAACTATAAATATGTAAAAATAATCATCTTCAAAAAATGGTTAATTTTTATTAAAAAATATATTTATAAAACATATTTAAAAAATATATTATAACAAAAATTAATATATATAATAAAATATTGGTTAAAAGTTTATCGAAACCAGGTATTAAAATAAATATATATCATTCTTTAATTTTACACATAATGGAGAGGAGAAACTGCTAGCGCCCATCACTCCTCAAATTTCAATATTTTTTAAATGAAATTATAATTTATATTTTTAATTTTTTAAATAAATATATATCATTCTTTAATTTTATAAGTGGTTTTGACTTGTAATATTTATCAATAATTACTACATTTTAAATTGGGTTGAGTTATATTTTATCGCAATAAATCACCGCGATATGATATAATGAAATAGTAACAAATAATTTCTAATATTTATAAAAAAAATATTAAAAAATTAAGATTTCTAAAAATATATAATTAAATTTTAAGTTTGCGAAAGAAAGATATTAATACTATTACACATAATTAATTAAATATAATATTTATATTTTAAAATATTTAATTTACTTATATATAATTTAAGTTATTTTAGATAAAAATTATTAATATACATTATTTATTTAATATATATTAATATTATTATAAATATATTAAAAAATATTAATATTAATATTAATTTTGAATACATATAATTTTTTTACATATAATTGGTTGTAAACAAATATTATTAAGTTGATGATTTTAATTTAATTTTATTAAATTTAAAATTTTTGAATTCATATTATATATATATATATATATATATATATTTTACTAAACCAATTTATTAGAAATACTTTCTATTATTATTATTTTAAAAATTTTATTTGTTTAAACGAAGGGTGTTAGGATTAAATATTATTTCAACTAACATGCATCTTAACTCACAAATATTAAAAAGATATTACATCTAATAAATTCAATATATGTCTTCTAATTTAAAAGATATGATATACTTTTCTGATAAAATATATGATATTATGTAATATAATATTCAACTTCATAAATTAAGTAATATTTTGAGAAGTAATATGATAGTTTCCTTCATTTTAGTCTATGGGTATAGAATAATCTTCCTTGTAAGCTTCAAATGTTATTTAAACATAAAATTTTATTTTTTATAATTATAATATAATATAGTTGTTTAAAACTATTATTATATTTAATTTGGTGTAAAACTTCTCATAACTTATCAATCTAGTTTAATAATTAAAAGATATCACATCTAATTAATTTAATATATAATTTTAAATATCATTTTAATTTTATTTTATTTTTGTAAAACACGTAATTTGTTTGTAACGATTATAAAATATTTGTTTAAAATTGTTATAAGTTTTATTTTGTAAGTTTTTAATTTGGATAAAAGTTACAACATATCTCAGTTTACATCTTTAAAGTTTAGAATTAAAAAAAATATTACATCCAAATAACTTTTTCTTTAATATTTATAATAAAGTTATAAAAATTAATTTTAAATATGTTGAGTAAAATAAATATATTATTATTATTATAAATGAATTTTATTTAATTTAGATAAAATATTTAAGATAATAAGTTGTCTTAACTTATATTTTTAAAATTTAAGTTTAAAAAATGTTACATCCAAATAATTGTTTATAAATATTATTTAATATTTAAAGAAAAAAATATAAATTTAATTTTAAATATTTTAATTAAAAATGAAATATTATGAAATATTATAATATAAATTATTTAAGATATAATGAAATATTTATACTTTACTTATTTAAAAAATAATTATAAATATTATTATTATTAAAACAATATATATAATATCTCTCATCATTTTTCAATTTACTATACATTATTTATAGCCTTTTTAATATCAATAAATTTTCACATTAATTTTTTGAAATCAATTTTTTTTATATCAATGTTTAATAAACAAGTAAACTCAAGAAAAAAAATATAATTAAGAGAAATTAAATAATAGATAAAAGTTCAAATTATAATAATAATAATAATCAACTTTAATCACATAACAAAAAATTAAGTAAAATTTATGAATAAAATATGAATGAAAGAAATGTAAAAGCATATTTTCTCATAAGAAAAATAGTAGGAAATACTCTTAGTGACACAACTAAAATAATAGAAACCTAAAAATATTAAATCTTTACACAATGACAATGATCACAACAATAATTATCTAGTTATTTGGTAACAAAGATTTGGTATATGATAATACATAGAGTTGTATGAACATTGATATTGACGAATTTTATGTTGTTTATGAGTTAAAGCCAATAGTAGTTTATATATATTATTCTTTATTTATTTCTTAGTCCTTGAATTTATATAAAAGATTGACACCACCTTCAACAAAAAATCTTAAAACATTAGATCATGGGTCTTTTTTCTTTATATATTGTTCAACTTTCGTATTTTTACTCAATGTAAGACTTAACTCACATTTGGATTACCAAAAAATTGTAAGCTGTCTTATATCTTTAATCATACAAGGTTTAGATCTTAACATCCCTGTTTCAGTAAATATATCTAAAGCATACTTTATTTGGCAAATGTGAATGTCTTTCATGGAATGAGAAATCTCCAATCCAAGAAATTTTTTTAACTTTCCTAGGTCCTTAACTTTAAAGGAATCATCTAATATCTTGGTTATGTGTCTGATTTCATCCCATGAATCACCTGCAAGAATTATATCATCAACTTATATGAGTAAGACATTAAAGAAATTTATGGTTTTCTTAACAAATCATGAATTATCATAATTGGATCATGAGAACCTAATATTTTGAAGGGTTGAACTGAGCTTTGAAAACCATTGTCTACTTGTTTGTTTGTGTCCATATATAGGTTTCATTAATTTGCAAATTTGATTAGCTTTTGTTGTCTTCAATCTTTGTGGTGGTAACATGTAAACCTCATCTTTCAAATCACCATGCAAAAAAACCATTGTTCACGAAACAAGTTGTCGAAGATACCAATTTTTAGTTGCAGCCAAGGCAAGGAGATAATGCATTGTATTGAGCTTGACAACAAGAGAGAAAGTGTTGAAGTAGATGTACGTTCATTATATCCCTTGGTTACTAATCTTGCGCTTTGTATCTTTCAAGACTTTCATAAGCTTTTCATTTATCTTAAAAAATCCATTTGCATGCAATGGGTTTTTTTCCATTAGGAAGATCAATCAAAATCATATCTTATTTTACTCTAAAACTTCAATTTTTTTACTCAGCAATTGTTCATTCATGAGTTTTAATAGCTTCTTCTTAGCTTTTCGATTCTTCATCAATGGTGATAACTAAAGTATAGTGCAAGTGTCTTATAGAAAGTCTATCATAACTAAGAATAGAAAAAACACGATATAAACTCTTATTGTTATTAGACATATGTTTTGTTGTATTGGGTATCTCATGGTGATAATCTTGAAGATAAGATTATATTTTTAGTGTTCTAGTAGATCTGCACGAGTTTTGTTCAATGTTGGTAGGAGTGTCTATAAAAGTATTTTTGGTAGGATATTTTAAAAAATAGTTGAACTTATTTTTCTCAATATCATCAACGACTTATGTGTTATTTTTTTCTTTGTAGGAAAAATATCTTCGTAAAAAAATAACATTTTTAGAAATAAAAATTTCTCTTATTTTTATAATTAATAAATGTAGCCTTTAACACCTTTTATATTTCCAAGAAAAATGTTTTTAGCAACATGGACATCAAACTTTTTTCTATCCCTTTT